CAAAGATGCTTGCATCCCATCCCTTGGCTATCTCTCTAACCCTAAAATTCACTAGCACCAACTGCACCCAAAGCGGATACAGAGAACTGTATAGAGGCTTGGTTGTAGCAAACATTATTTCCAAAGACCCATGTGGTGTAACTATATCTCCAACCTCAAAGCTGGGACAGTGGCCCTATTCCAAGGGCAGAAGTTCATGTGCCTAGCAGTTTTCCTTAGATCCAGCTCAGTCAGAGAGAGAACACTCTAGTTCAGGATAGCTTCCGACCACACAGTATGTGCCGTTTCCCTTTTCCTCCTGAAGCATGGTCACACTAAGTCAGAGGCCAGATGAGCGACACACAACTGTTTCGGCATGCTATGGGATGCTGAAACATAATCAAAATGGGTCAAATATCAAGCCTTTGCAAAGCACTTTCCATGGGAAGCTTAGAAGTCTCACACCCGCCCCGCCCCCAAAGACAACACTGGAGAGAAAATGACACACAATGGCAGATGCTCAAATGCACAACACAGCCATAGTCCCGCAGGAGGATGTCCCAAGAGGAAGTGAGAATTCACTCAGGCTGTCTAGAGAAAGAACTTCCATGGCATGGCAGCAGTGGGCTCAGAGTTGGTCCATGAAATAAGAGGTCAAAGGTCTAGGATACATGGCATGGTGGGTAGTTAAGTCCCACCCTGGGCTTTGAGACATGGGGAACAGGTATAGCCTAGAAGACCGGCTGTGAGGTTGACAGTCAAGCAAGCCTTGAGTGTTTGCATTCTCTACTATCCCTAGCAGTCTGTCCGTCAACAACTTTGGAAAGTGTCTTCTAGAAACTTACTTCCCTGTAGTAACTCACAGCCCTGGTACCCCAGACAACAGTCTGTCTTTGGTGTTCTCCCTGTGAAACCCAGAAGGTTCCTAAAAGGTTTCTTGGGAACATCTTCCCTTAAATTTCCTAACTCAAGTTCCATCTGGGCATCACATTCTTCAAAGTTAAGCACTCAATAAACACCAGTCAAAGCCGGGCAGTGGTGGCGCACACCTTTAATCCCAGCACTCAGGAGGCAGAGGCAGGCGGATCTCTGTGAGTTTGAGGTCAGCCTGAGCTACAGGAGCTAGTTCCAGGGCAGACTTCAAAACTACAGAGAAACCCTGTTTCGAAAAAACAAAAACAACCCCCCCCAAAAAAACCCCACCAGTCAAATAAACACCAGAAAGGGAACCTTCCACCAGGTCCCTGTTAAAGTTCAACTCTAGAAGTATCTGCCAGGTATTCTTTCCTTGATCTTAACTATGAGGTCAGAGCTTGAAATCTTTCCACGTGAATCAACATCCTGTTTATCTTCCATCATGTAATTAATGGCCTCCATCTGTTAACACCCCTTCTTTTTAACCTCCTCCTTAGGATTTAATTAAGGTGGAATCTCTTGGGAGACTCTTTCGTCAGAACCTGGTAGAGGGGGTAGAGAGAACACAGAACACTTAATAGGTTTTCTTATTTGAATACTCTAATAACATACATGACTAATGTGAATTAAAATTACTCTTTCTAGAAACTTATGACTAAAACACTATCAACCATGGTACCAAGTTTGCATCTGCTCTCTTTTTCTGGAGATAGAGTCCTTGTAGCCTAGGCTAGCCTCAACCCATTATGTAGCTCCCAATTCTTCTGCTTCGCCCCACAATGCTGGAATTACGGCGGTTTTCTGTCATGCCTGAGTACTGTTATACTACTTCTATGTTCTAAATTGTGCTTTTAAACTTTAGAAATCGGATGTAATTTAAGACAAATAAAGCTTAGATTCATTTCACATTAAGTGTGTGAGTGTTTGCATGTGCATATACTACATGTATGCCTGGTACCCAGGAGTTAAACGAGGGGGTCAGACTCCCTAGAACTGGAGTTAGAGATGGCTGTGAGCCACATGAGGGGTTCTGGGAACTCAATCTGGATTCTCTATAAGAGCAATGAGTGTTCTTAACCACTGGGCCAACTCTCTAGCTCTAAAATAATAAATTAAAAAAAATCAACTAAAACATATTCTGATAATCTCCCATTGCAGTAAAGAAAATACAAACACACATACACACATCCATTTATTTATTTATTATTTATTCATTCATTCATTCATTCATTCATTCGTTCATTCATTCATGTGTGTATGTGTGTGGGCACACAAGTACCATAATGGTGTATTTATTTAGAAGTCAGAATAGAACTTTAAAAAAAATTAATGATTTGCTTTTATGTGCATTGGTGCTTTGCTTGCATATATATCTGTTGGGTGTGTCAGATCTCTTAAAACTGGAGTTACAGACGGTTGTGAGTTGCCATGTGGGTGCTGGGAATTAAACCCAGGTCCTCTGAAAGATCAGCCAAAGCTTTTCTAATCACTGAACCATCTTTCCAGCCTTCTTTTTTTTTTTTTTTCCTTTTGGTTAACTTGAGACAGTGTCTCTCTGTATAGCCCTGGCTGTCCTAGAACATACTCTGTAGATTAGACTGGACTCAAACAGAGAGCCTCTGCTTCTCCAGTTCTGGGATGAAAGGTGTGCACCACCACTGCCCAGTTCAAAGTACAACTTTCAAGAGTCAGTTTACTTTCCACCACGTGGATACCAGAGACTCAACTCAAATTGTCGGGCTTGGCAGCATGTGCCGTGTCACCGGCCCAATAAAAAGTAGTTTATAAAGTAATCTTAGGAATCAGTAAAATGAAGACATCTATTTGACTTAACGCTAAAATGAAACAGCTCTAAAGCCATTGTTCCAGTGCTGAAATTAGGCAGACACTAAAAACCAATGGATAGGCTGATTTAAAATCGGATTTAATAGACAAGGCAGGAACACTTGAGTACTAAAGACAAAAATGGTTATAAACACTCACTGTTTGGAAAATAATAAAACATACACTCTCACTATAAAAAGAAAACCCAGTTAACAAAAGCCTCTTTCTATCCTCGAGACTGGTGATTTTCTGGAAGGTCAGTTCTCTAGAAGTAAAAAGATTTTTTTTTTAAATATTTATTTATTATGTACACAATATTCTGTCTGTGTGTATGTCTGCAGGCCAGAAGAGGGCACCAGATCTCATTATAGATGGTTGTGAGCCACCATGTGGTTGCCGGGAATTGAACTCAGGACCTTTGGAAGAGCAGGCAATGCTCCTAACCACTGAGCCATCTCTCCAGCCCAAGTAAAAAGATTTGATTACCTCAGAAATGGGGACAGCTGGGAGAAGGCTTGTGAGGGACTAACACTCTATTATCTCAAACCCTAATTTCTTGGTTATTCTGAAGCGACTCAATTCTTAGACCACACTGAGATGTTCTGTAAGGCCTCTTGAAGAGAAATGGACTCCTAACCTTTCTGGAAAAGCCTCCTGAGCAGCAGCTTCTGGGCTAGTAAGGCACAAAGTTAGGTGCCATCATGTAGACTCAACCAGAAAACTCACAAAGTTAGTATAAGGCTCATAAACTGCCTATGGGGAAAACGGAGAAAACTATTTTTTTTTCTAAGTTTCAATACTGCAGAGTTCTGAGGTATCAGTTATGAACTATTCCACACAACTCTTGTAATCGAAATACTTTCCATTACCACAGGTATAACAGTATTAGTATTCAGCCGGGCAGTGGTGGCGCACGCCTTTAATCCCAGCACTTGGGAGGCAGAGGCAGGCGGATCTCTGTGAGTTCGAAACCAGCCTGGTCTACAAGAGCTCGTTCCAGGACAGGCTCCAAAACCACAGAGAAACCCTGTCTCGAAAAACCAAAAAACAAACAAAAAAACAGTATTAGTATTTAATTAAACATAAGATAAACTACAAACTAACCTGGAAAATTCCTGCCCTATTGCAAAGAAAGGCAGTGGAGAAACCAAATTTGGAAAGCAGATCGAAAAGGATTCTATATCTTGTCTCTCTTAGTCAATCCTAAGATTTTTCTACATCTGGCCCCAAACATGATACACATAATTCATATATTGGAAGTAAAATGACACTTTGGACCATTTTTACTCAGGCGGTACCTTGTAAGAGCTTCAGAGCCCCTTCATATTATGGATGAGAAGGAAAGGATGGAGCACAAACTCTGCAAGTCACTGGGAAAAAGGCAGCCACTGTGTCAGCTCCCATGGCCTACGTTAATTTAAACGTCTGGAATGTGAAAAGACCAGATGAATGCAAAGGGTTCTCAGGTTCCAAAGCCAGCAAATAGCTGGGGCGGTGGTGTTCACACACCCTGGGCAAAAGAATCTAGGGAGAAGAAACTAGAGCCACCGTAAAGCCGGTCCTTCTAGACCGAAGAGCATGAAAGACGAGGCGAGGGAGAGAAGCACTGTTAATCTGAGGGCTCAGGCAGATGGGCACGAGAGTGCCATCCTCTCCGGCCCAGGACGCTGGGCTCAGAGTGCCCGCTCCTCTGAGTGCCCTCAGTGTGGAGGTGTGTGCCGCGGAAGGCGACGAGGGCGGCCTGCCCCCCGCTGACCCACGAGGCCCTCACCTTGTCAGAGTCTAGGTCGGGGTCCGCCTGGCACAAGCGGTACAGGAAAGACTTCGGGTCTCGGCACAGCGTCTGCCGGGTGGTGAGGAAGTAGGTGCCGCCGACATTGAGCCGGACCCACTTGGATACGCCACTGGGGCGGTGTGCCAGGGCACCGAGCCCAGCGCTGCAGCGGCGGCACAGGCCACCCCCCAGCCCCGCCCCGAGGCCGCTCGGAGCCGGTGGCAGCAGCTCGCAGTGATTCTCCGCCATGATCCCAACAAGCCCCGCCACAGTGCCCCTTCTCCGGAAACGTTCTTTAATACAGTCCTCCGAGTCGTCCCGCCCATAGGTCCACCCCAGTAAAGTGCCCGCCCAGGCATGATGTGCAAGACGGAAGTTCCGGCTCGAAAAGCAGGCCGGCGACAACCACTTCCGGTCAGACGAGCCTTGAGTTTTCTAAGGGACCCTGGGGTTCGGCACTGGCTCCGCCCCAACGCCAGCCAAAAGAGGAACCAGGACGTCGAACATATACACTCTACATGCTTTTATTACAAGACTACCGAGCATACGAGGGAAATCCATCATCCGGTAATTACATCTAAAGCACAGATATTTGAAAAAAAAAAGAAAAAATTGTTTCATTAAATTATATGATTAAACCATGACCAAATAGAAAATTTATATAATAAAGCCAGGAAAAAGTTGTAAAATATAGTTTACAATAATTATTCACATTCAAGGCTGTACATCAATACATACAACAACGTGGCCCCAAACATGAATTCAATCCAAATAATTCATATATTAGAATTTAAATAACAGACTGAACTAGAGGCCGACAATAGCCAGCAAATAACCTTATATAAGAATAAAAATACAAAAGTGTATATCCTAGTATCATTGCATTATCTGTTTTCATAAGTATTTTTAATTTTTGCTTTGCCTGTACATCACAGTTACAGCTACAGACCAGGTAGAGAATATTACACATGTTCTGACTGCCACCAACCTGAACGACAGCAGTAGACTATTGATTCATCCTACTGTATGTGGCTATGAAACAGCCGCAGCAGCTCTAAATACTGTAACAGTTTAATTTGCCAATGTCCAATCAAACAATGGTCATAATGGAGGCTTTTACCTGCACAATGACTCACTTGTAGTCACTAACCCAGATGATTAAACTAGGCTGGACGACATGAGGGGGAAATTTGCCTTTTGTAAGACCTTCTGTACAGTTTGAATTCTTCATTCAGATACAGGGAATTTCCAGGTATTCACATTGGTTAATTCATTTGCTTACCACTGCATAGGTGCTTTGACAGAAACAGCTTCCTTCCTAGGCCATTTTTCCACAACCATTCTGACTTAAAACCCTTAAGTGTTAGGCCAGATGCCAGTTATCATCAGAGGCTCTGAGAGTGGTCTCAGTCCCATCTAATATGCCAGGGCCCTTGTCATACATTGTACCTAAGAGGTGCTACCCCTACTGGAGTCAGTTTATGTTGGGTTTTGCAATGAAAAAAAAATGGAAAAGGTGTACTGCAACATCTCTAGGAACATGGTATCTTCACCATACTCATGAGTTGCTACAGTCTCCCAAGTCTCAGCTATAAGCACCCTGAGTCTATGGAGCAGTAGGGAGAAGTCTTGAGGCATGAGAAAGCGGGGAGCTGATTTTCACACATCTCGAGCCCTACACTCTGGTAGAATCAGGTAACACTGAGTATGGTGCCCAGTAAATCTTTACTTCATGTTTCCAAGTAGAGGCCCCACAAAACAGATACAACCCAATTTGGGTGTGTGGGCTTTATTCAAAGACCATAATTACCTGCAGCAAACAGGAAGGTTTACATAAGCATCAGCTGGAATACCCATCCTCTGCAATGAGAAGGTCTGGCCACTGCACTCTCCCGAACTGCTAATCTGGGGGGGTTGGGGGTGGAGCAAGGACACTCACAACTGTACGTTTATAAAACCCAATCATCTACATGGTTTTTTTTCAATTAGAGCTTTGCTACTCTGCTTTGCTACTGATCCCAAGATGGCCAAATGCACTCTCTGGGTCTATAAACGTAATTACGAATTACCCATTAAAAATGTGGCAAGGTCAGTTCAACACTTTATCTCTGCTGACTGTGCAGAAGCAGATTCAGTACCATTGTGGACACAAAGTACAGGATTCTGAAAACATCACCAAGCTCTTGGAAGTCATAGCAGCAATGATGGAAGAAGTAACATGCATGACCAGATTCTTGCAATGAAAATGAAGAAACTGGGCTTTTGGAAAAATTTGACACAAATGGATCTGCACTAATGACATTTTAGATTAAAAAAAAAAGCAGTCATAGTCAAACTTTCTTGGGAATACACAGTTTAGCAGGAACTGATGTGATCAAAATCTGTAGGACATGAGGAAGGAGGGTTTATTACTGGAACTCAGAGCATCTAAACAGACCAAAGAGGAGGAACAGCTATGAAATGAACAAATTCTTTGACCCAAAAATACCACTTGCAGAGAAAAAAATCAGAGTAAAAATCAAAGACGTAAGTATATTCACCAGAGCATTATTTAAATAGCAAAAACAAACAAACAAACAAACAAATAACAAAAAACCCAAAAGGATCTGAATGTTTTACAACAGGGAGACAGTTGGATAACTTATAAACCAACCATTTGAGTCCACAATTATTAAAAACATGCTTTTGAAGAACTGCTCGTGGTATAGAGAAATGCTTAAGGGAAAAAATGTCAAGAGAAAAGGCTGGATGCAAAATGATGTGTCGTATGTTCCCAGTTTGGTTTAAAAAGCAAACAAGGGCTAAGGGTGTAGCTCAGTGGTAGAGGACTTGCTTAGCACTTCTGAGGGCCCTGATTCCATTCCCAGCACTGGGACAACAATGACAACAACAAAAAGTTGGGGAGGGAAAAGCAGGATCTACATCAAAATGCTCACAGTGGTCTCTGAATAATGGGCCTTTCTTTTTTTTCCTTAACTTTCAGAAAACATTACTTTTAAGAAAGCACACAATCACCTACAGCCCCGTTGCTGGCACTAGGAGTCTGTGCCACACTTGGCTATCTGCAAAGTTACTTCAAGCTTGGATCACAACACTAGGGTTTTTAGCCCAAAGAGTGCTGCAGCAGGTGCAGTTTCTACCAGCCTAACACAAGTCATCTTTCTCAAAGTGGTTTTTTACTGCATCTACTAGGTTAGAGTTTAGCTACATGGATATGTCCACCACCCAGCCAGAGCACAGAAAAACAGGTAGAAATAACCTATTCAAGCTCAACTTCATTTGTGACACCAAGAAAAGGCATGGCTAGTGGGTAGTGAGGTACAGTCCACTGTGAGAAGCCAGAGGACAGTCTTCAACTTTCTATTCATTCTTACCATTCACATGACTTCTGGAGCTCCTAATGAGACATTTCTTTTTCTCCTTAGATAGATTCCCCCATTTGCTTTTATACACACACACACATGCACACACACACAGACAAAATTGTACAAACTGATACCCACATCCTGTCCTACAGTGTAAGGCACCTGCACACTGGGTGACGGCTCTAAGGATGACTGGAAAAAACCGAAAGTGATATAAGCCAGGGTAAGAAAGAATGTACATGGTTCTTAAAGGGGAAAAAAAATATCAAGGAAAAGGGGGCAGTAAGGATATAAAGGTGACCTGGGAAGAGCTCAGCTATTGTAGCATAGGGCAGTCATCATGGCCACCCACTACCAGTTCAGCTAAACCCTAATTTTAGAGGTTAGGATGGCACTTGGTAAAGCCCAGGAGGTAGCGTTGCTCTCCAGGGGAGAAAGCAACAGAGGACTCTCCCATAAGCCAGCCAGGTGTTCTAACTTAAGCCATGCCTCAGCCCCAAATGGTCCCCTGTAGTTAAGTGTCCTCAGAGATGCCTCTCCCTGTATCTACATGCATGTGACAACCAGGAAGCCACTCTTATACGTGCAAACACAGGGCACAGGATACTGAGGGCTAAATAGCCACAAGGCATGAGCAAGAACAGGACTCTAAGGAGGAGACAGCCAAGTTTAGCTAACATGGTTCTTCAAAAACCAGGAAAAAAAGTGTCTACTTCCACTCACAGGCTGATAGCGTGCTAAGCTATCTGTTCCCTGGGTCCAAGGGGCAGGTGTGGTCCTGACACCTGCTCCTTGGTCACCTAAAGCTCTTATCATACAATATAGCAAAGTCTGCTCCCATCCAGCACCCCTGCCAAGGCATGATGGTGAGCTTTTCATCTACACTCCACCCAGTTTGAAAGGACCACTCTTATTGTTAAACAGAATTTTTCCCCCCTCAGTTTGGGTAACCTGGCCCACAGGTGGTCACTGTGGACAGGGGTAATTGCTGTGTGGGCATTTTTGGAGTGCCTTTGTGAAAGTCTATATAAATGGCAAAATTGTTGCTGCCTTCACAACATGGGAGTCAGAGGTGTTCCTGTGAGCAATCTATGAAGGCAGGTGCCTACTTTTCCCCACTAGATACCAAGGGTCACCCATTAGGGATATCCTAGTCAGAGAGAGGTACAGCCAAGTCGCTCAGAAGCACTCTGCAAGTGTACTGAAATAGTCCAGGCCATCTGTATCACAAAACAAAACACTGTCAACTCAGCATCAGGGTATGCCAGCACAGGCAAGCTCAGGCTTGGGTGGGCTGTCCCTGTGAGCTAGACAGTGGTAACATTCTTTCCAGGCAAGGTCCATGCTTTATGTTACCAAGTGACCAAGCAACATGAAAAGGCTTTCAGATTTTCAACAGAGATATAAAACTGAGCTAGCTGAGAGACCGGGCAGGAGATTGGCACACAACCTGGGATTTTCTCAGTCCCTGTCTAACAGAGCATGTGGCCTACACATGAAAACGTATGCAGAAACTCCCAGGAAGGCCTGAACACCACTCCTCCACATGGGAGCTCGAGTCTTGTCCAGGTCAGGGCAGGATTCTGTACCTGATAGTGATCTAGTTGGTGTTATCTAGGTGCTGGTATGACAGCACCCCTGCTGGACACGTGCTTGGTGCCTCATTCCCTGGATGAACTGCTAGGAAGTGGAATGCTAGAGCAGAGCCCAATGAGAGCAGACTGTAACCACAGCAGCCTGCACACTTCTCACCATCAGCCTGCCTACGGTAGGGCAGGAACCACAGAAATTCTGTCATCAGAAACATACCTGACCACATCTCTAGGGCCATATAAGGGACTCAAGGAAGGAGGTACACACACAAGCTAAGAGCCCTGTACCCACAGTGAGCTGGTGATCAACCCAGCAGAGTAGAGAGGCTCTCTGATGAAGGAGAGCCAGATACACCCGGTCCCTCAGTTACAGCAGGAGCTGTGTTTATCAGGTGGGGAAGGGTAGAAGCAGGCATGCAGTTCCTGTGGATGCTAGGAGGGGGCTGGGGATGCCAAATCTGGTCACTGGTCTGGGCAGAAGCTGAGCTACCGTGCAAGGAGCTGGGTCTCCATGGCCACAGCAGCACATGGAAGCCACCACATAGCACAGAGAGCAAGCAAAGCGACCCTGAATTCCTGTTTGTTGGTTATTTGTTTTGTTCTTTGTGTGGCTGGGTTCTTTTTTTCTTTTCTTTTAAATAAAAAAGCTGCAAGGTTTCCACCATCCATGTTCTCCTTGAGATGGCTGGCAGGTGGTCTGGAAGCGTCCTGGGTGGCGGCCGAGCCGCGCTGGGGCAGGTGTCCTGGCAGCGATAGGCAGCCCGGCCGCAGGCCGCGTCACTGCACAGCGGCATCTGGATGGCTCTGGTACCGCTGCCTCCAAACCTCCTGGATCTTTCTGCACCACTTGTGAGCATTCCCGCTTGGATCCATCAGGTAATACGTCCTGTTAGGCTGCAAAGACAGAGCATCTGATGTCCTCCAGGGAGTCCTGTCCCCACCCAGCCTATCTTGCTGTCAATGCTGTCAGCACCGTTTGAAAGCCTGTGGGTACAGTGGGCTTCTTCTTTCTACAAGTACAGAAACTAAGTACATGGGTGGGTGACCTACCGAAAGCAAAAATCAAAACAGAGTATCTCCTAACCCATTTCAGGCCTAAGTTGTTCATACAGGTCTCTGAGACACAGGAAGCTGACATGACCCTAGATACTTCCTTGGCCAAAGCAAGGGACACTTCCAACCGAGATGCAGAAGCCTGTGGTGACACTACAATCAGAGGCCTTATAGGGAGAAACTCACCGTGTGGACAAAAAAAGTTTTAAAATTCTTGGCCTCTGGTCGGAGTTCTTGTGACCATGGAATTTCACCTTTCAAGACTTTGTTGACAGGATCAACATAATATAAATGTGGCCCTTCTGTGAGTAATAACTGCCGTCGTCTTGCAAATAAACCCTGGTACAAATAAATAAACAAAATGATCAAGGCACAGATGAGACTAACTTATAAGTAGTGCAGGGCATAGTGACTGCCAGCTGTCCATTCACCTAAGACACTTCCTCCTCAACCTAAGCCCAGCATCTTACATCAAGAAAAGACAAAAGTGTGGGTCTCTGCTGTTTATCTCACAATATGCCCATCGATGGATAGCTCGTAGTCTCCCCTGATCCTTCAGCTTCTCTCAGGCACAGAGTCCGCCCTTGGCAGGCCAGGCCTCAGTTCACTTTGATGGAGATTCTCACTTCCAGAGTATACACAGTCAAGAAGGATGTTAGGAAGTCCTTGTTAGCAGAGTCTGATATATTCTGCACTATCTGTTGTCCATAAAATGTAATAAACAAGGCAGTGGTGGCCTATACCTTTAATTCCAGGACTCAGGAGACAGAGGCAGGCAGATCTCTGTGAGTTCGAGGTCAGTCTGGTCTACAAAACCAGCTTCAAAACAGCCACGGTAACATAGTGAGACCCTGTGTCTCAAAAACGAATAAACAAATAAGCTTAATAAACAACAACTCCTGTATTTTCAAATCTTCTAATGAAAGACTACTTGCTGGGTTCTCAGAAATGATACATCCTCCTCAATGTGACAGAAACCTTAGCGTAGTGAGATGAGCATTGTGCGACCATGAGAAATCATACCCTGTGACTAGAGTGTAATGCTGGTTTTCCAAATGCCCACACTGCTTCCCTGAGAGCCTGAGTGTTCCCAGTTATAAAATCTAGAGATGATCTCTAAAGATCAGGCCAAAATGCCATATCCAACGAACCATGGCAGGACCCCAGGATGAAGAACTGATCTGATCTGAAGCAATAGGAAGTCACAGGATGAAGAACATCAGGGACTTGACTCACCTTTCGCTTATCCACCGGGCCCATTTTTAATATTAGATTATTTTCTACAAACTGGTGCCTAAAAAAGAAAGAAATAAGAATGAGACAGCAGTTCTCCAAACACTGCCCTTCGGATAAACTCCACAGGGCCTCTATAGACTTTTTATCAGTCAAGTTTGCCCCCCGACTCTACCACAGTTGCAGCCTCTTTTCAGGAGATACTCCAGATGTGTGATGCAATGTTTGCAGATTTTATCTGTACATATGGTCCAGAGTTTACATTGCTAGAGTCATCTGCACAGTAGAGGAAGGCTGGGAGAGAACGCCACAGAAACATCATCCTAATCACCACCCTCATTTTAAAATGCTGCAGTGGGGCTGGGTGTGGTGTGCACAACTTTAATCCTAGCACTTGGGAGACAAAGGCAGGCAGATCTCACAGAGGTTTGGATGCCACTGCAAATCAATATTAGAATCTATAAATTACTTCCCAAATCAGGACACCTACCAGTGCCTAGAGTCCAGAGTTCTAGAGAAGCACAAATCCTTAAAAAATAGCTTCAGAATTTCTTTTCTGAGGTGAGGTGTATTGCCTAGTGGTATAGGGGGTATTTAACATGCACCAGGTGCCAAGGTTTTCAATTCCCAAGATGGTGATGGGGTGGGGTTTTTTTCCCAATATTTTTACCATATTAAAAAAAAACATTTATTCAAATATGCCAAGAATTTGGTCTGACCAGGGGCCTCAAACCAGACCCGTGACTCTTTGCAACAAACACTTGCAAATAGAGATATATGGACCAAGGAATATACGGCATGACTTGCTGGGTCGCTGTATGATTCATGGGGTCACAGTGCAGCTTCCCTGTTGAGACTTTTAATTTCTTCCCCTTCCTTTTTAAAAAATTTTTTTAAAAAATCTTCTCTTTAATCCCAGCACTCGGGAGGCAGAGGTAGGCGGATCTCTGTGAGTTCGAGACCAGCCTGGTCTACAGAGCTAGTTCCAGGACAGGCTCCAAAGCCACAGAGAAACCCTGTCTCGAAAAACCAAAAAAAAAAAAAAAAAAAAAAAAAATCTTCTCATTTATTTTCTTCATTTTTTTTTCTCATATTCTGGGGGAGGGGGTGCAGGGTGGAAGGCAGATGTTAAGGGACAGGGATTGAATAGGATCGAGACACATGATGTGAAAAACAAATAGAATAAATAAAGTTTATTAATTAAAAAAAATGGTCTGAGGTTCTGCAAGTAAAAGCACCTGATAACTAAGTTCAATCCCTGGGAAGCACATGGTAGAAGGAAAAAGCTAACTCCCTTAAGCTATCCTATGACTATTACACGTGTACTACAGCATTAACATTTGGAAGAAAAGTAATTCTTCCAAGTTCCTCTGACATCCATGTGTACAAACAATAAATAGATAATGCTAAAATTTTTTCAAAGATTTATTATTTATACAGTGTTCTGCCTGCATGCCAGAAGGGGGCGCCAGATATCATTACAGATGGTTGTGAGCCACCACATGGGTGCTGGGAATTGAACTCAGGACCTCTGGAAGAACAGCCAGTGTTCTTAACCTCTGAGCCCCTAAACAATTTTCTTAAAGAGTTTAGCTTGACTTACTACATGAGCAGCATGTGTACTTCTGTCTCCTCAGAGTCAAAGATGGTTTAACATCTAATATTACTTTATTGGGGTTAAAGCTACCTTTAAAATACCTCTCATGGTCCCCCCACCTTTTTTTTGTGACACTATGACAGAACCCATTGCTTTATGTAGCCAGGCAAGCACTCTTCCCACCTGAGCTATAGTTCAGCCCTATGCCCTGTCTGATGCCACTTCTACTATAAATACAAAACAAAAAACTCACTTTCTATCTGAAAATTGTCTAAGTCAAGCACGTAGATACTCTGAAACCTCCCTGAGGAGCCAGAGCACTTCGAGGCCTCACTACCTGACTCATACAAAACCAACCAGACTACCCTTCCAAGGTATGCTATACAACCAAAATCTTGGTCTCAAGTCACACACAATATAGTACTGTGTAGACTTTGAGAAGAACTAAGATTCTAAAAAGGACAGAGCAGTGATCCACAAGAAAAAGTGGGGGTGGGGGGGAACAGTCTCCAAGAGGTTTTACTAACCAAACACCCAACTCGAAACACAGGGGGAGAGGGCTGATTCTGAAAGGAACATTAGCAGAAGGTATGAAGCACTAAGATGTGCAGGTAACACTGCAGGGCCTGCCAGAATGGTCACCTAACAAGCAGGCTCTGCAATATTTTAACATAAGCAAAGACTTACAAAATAGGAAAGACCTACTAATTAAATTACTGGAGGAAAAGCAAGCAACACAGAAAGCAAACATGATCCTATAGACAAGCATCAGCCTGCCCCTTGTTCACTCTGCACAGAGAATGTACTCACACCCCAACATCCTATAAGTCTTTGTGTGTGTGTGTGTGTGTGTGTGTGTGTGTAAGAGGCCAAGGAAGCTCCATTAGTAACAGCAATAGCACAATCCACTACTTAATCAGCCACTTGCAACAGGTTAGTTACTGCTTATTTATCAGTCTGCGTTCTTTTCTTTCTTTTTTTAATTTTATTTATTTATTTATCTATCTATTTATTTATTTATTTTTGATTTTTCGAGACAGGGTTTCTCGGTAGCTTTGAAGCCTGTCCTGGAACTAGCTCTTGTAGACCAGGCTGGCCTTGAACTCACAGGGATCCACCTGCCTCTGCCTCCTGAGTGCTGGGATTAAAGGTGTGTACCTCCACTGCCCGGCCCAACCTGCTTTCTTTCTCTTTCTTTTTTTCTTCCTTCCTTCTTTCTGGTGGTAGTAGAGGTAGAACCTAAGGCAAACATTCTATCAATGAACCATGTTCCCAGCTCTGTTTATCTACTTTGGAAAGATTACTTCAAAGACTCATTTGGACTTTATAAAAAAAATTATAGGCCAGGGTGGTAGGGGCACAAGCCTTTAAATCCCAGAACTCAGAAGGCAGAGGCAGGCAGATCTCTGTGAGTTTGAGGCCAGCCTGGTCAAAAAAGCAAGTTCCAAGATAGCCATGACTGTTAAACAGGGAAACCCTGTGTGTGGTGGTGGTGGTGGTGGTGGATTATGTGCCTGATGTTTTGTCTGCCTGTAAGTCTGTGCCTGCGGAGGCCAGAAGGAGATCTATAGGAACTGGAGTGGCAGATAATTGTGAGCTGTCATTTGGGTGCTGGGAATCAAACCCTGGTCCTCTTAATGGCTGAGCCATCTCTTTAGCCCTATTGACTCTTTACTGCACTGTCAATCCCCACTCCTGGAGAAGCTCCAGGCACACCTTAAGCACCTTTCTCCCTGAAGATTCATAGCTAAAACTACACCTGAAATAGAGCCATAGAACTACCCAGTTCGTGGTTTCCCATTCACACATAGCAATGTGGCTCTCCCAAAATAGGCAAATTCTGTCATTGGTGTCAAAGAGATGAAGACACAGAGGCTGAGGGGTTTGTTTCACCCATGGTCAAATGATAGCAATGCAAAACTCCAAAGCCTGGTTCTCTCCTCTGCTATCTGTACAGACCCCAAGACTATCTCCAGGACCTGAGCCTAAGGCCCCAAAATAGCTTCACTGTTTGTTGGAGAGCACAGTACAGCCGTAGAACTGAGAGTAGCCCCTGACACCTGAGATGTCTCCACAGAGCTGGTTGTACTTAGGTAAGTATACCTGTGGTGCTGGATAGCCGGCACTAATCTATTTCAAATGTCAGCAATCTAGCCTTCAGGCCTCATTTTACCTTATTTTACTTTTTATTAGACTTGTTTGTTTTATGTGTGTGTGTATGTGCATGACCTGTGTACTTGGTGCCAATGATGGCCAGAAAAGACATGGAACCTCCTGGAATTAGTTATGTATGGTTGTGAACCACCACTTGTTGGAAACTGAATCTGTGTACTCTGCAAGAGCAGCCAGTGCTCTTAGCCACTGAGCCATCTCTCCAGCCCAGATCACATCAACTTTACACTCCACTCTAAACATTCAAGGAAGCCCCATTAGCATTACTCTCTCTCGACTATAGCCTCAATCCACAGTCCAGAAAATTTCAACACCTGCTTTCAAGTACTTATCCATCTGCTCTACTTTGCCTGGAACTTTCATAGAGCTGGCTGGCCTCTGCCTTCTATGTGCAGGGATTACAGACATGTATCACCATTTCCAGCTTCAAATACTTAATTAAAAGTAATAAACCTGGGAGCTGGAGAGAGGGCTTAGCAGTTAAAGAGCACTGACAGCTCTTCCAGCATTCCTGAATTCAGTTCCCGGCAACCACACAGTGGCTCACAGGCATCTATAATGGTATCTGATGCCTTCTTCTGGCATCTGTGCAGATAGAGAAACATATACATAAAATAAATAGATCTTTAAAATTTTTACTTTAAAAATAAATAAATAAACCTGAACCAGCCAGATGACTAGGTTATTAAAAGCTACCTCTAAACATGACTTCCACACATGCTTTGTGGCACTGTACATGTACACACATACATAAAAATTATTTATTAGCATCTATTAGCATACACACATGCATGTACACACATATACTCACATGTGTGTCTACAAATGATCTACTTTATACTGAGTAGTATCCCAAGTGCCTCCTCCACCTTTTTTAAACTGACATAATGTTGAAGCAATTGACTTAGGCATCTGCAATGTATGATCAGTCTTGTTTCCTGATGGTGGGAGGCACCTGCTTAATGTTCTTAAAAGGCCTGTGCCAGCTAGTGCTTCACTTGTGATCTTCCCAGCTCTTAGACCTTCCACCCCAACATCCTTCCTTCCAGTGATTCTCAGAACTGTTCTCTTCACTGTGAGATGCCTCCTTTGCATATCATAGGGAACAAACTCTCTACAGTGACTCTCTGCTGGATGGGGTAGGTTAATTCTAGTTCAGTGCACTGCCAGCCTAGTTCTATAGTGTTCCTCTGCTATCCATAATCTCCTTATGGTGTTCCTCTGCTATGCTATAACCTCCTTACCAATTTATTCCTCTATGATGGTGAACAGTATGAGCCAGAAAGAATGACACAGATCTGCAGTTCCTGCAACCATGCCTTCTTCAAAAAACTCAAATCTTCTGTGTGTACACACATATGTATATACACTAGGTGTCTCCCTCAACTATCTCCAGTTTTTAGTTTATGTGTATGAGTTCTTCATCAGTGGTAGTTAGAATGAAAATGGCCCAATAGGCTCATATTTGAATAATTAGTCACCAAGGAGTGAAACTGTCTGAAAGGACTAATAGGTGTGGCCTTGTTGAAGGAAGTATGTCACTAAAGGTGGGCTTTGAGGTTTCAAAAGCCTGTAACTGACCCAGTCTGTCTGTCTCTGCCTGCAGATCAGGATGTAAAGTTCCCAGCTAGTCCCACAAACCTTCATGCAGCCAAGCTTCCTCCCCACCATGATGATAATGAATTAAGCCCCTATTAAATGCTTTCTCTTATAAAACTAAGATTCCACCTTATTTTTTCTTTTTTAGATTTATTTTAGTATATGAGCCTGCATGTATATATGTGCAGTACATGCATGCCTGGTGCCTGCAAAGGTAAGAGAAAGAGTACTGGATCTCCTGGAACTGAAGTTATGGATGGTTGTGAGACACCATACGGGTGTTAGGAATTGAGCCTGAGTTCTCTACAATAGCAACAAGTGTTCTTAACCACTGAGCCATTTCTCGAGGCCCTTTCCAACAAACCTAGGATTCACCAACTTGGCTAGTTTGGCTGGCTAGCAAGCTGTTGATCAGAGATCACACTATTTCTTCCTCTCCAGCACTGGGAATGCAGATGTGCATTTCCATATCTAATCCTTTATGAGGTTGCTGGGGATTGAACCCAAGTCCTCAAGCTTGCACAACAAGGATTTTACCGACTCAGCCATCTCCACAGACCCTTACACCTTTTTAGACTTAAATGGTGCTGCCGTGGCTAAGAAAAAAAAATATTTTAAGTCAATGATCCATGTTCACATTTGAATTATAAATGTTCATTTACTTTATAAAAGTATTAATATCAAAAGTAGCTATTTTAGATAAAATTTACAGAACTTTACAGTATTTTTAATATTTTTTAATACTATCACAAAACAGGCCAACAAAATTTACTTGTATTTCTATCTATATAGGCAAATGGTCAGGATTTGAAAGTAATGACTTACTAGATAATTAAAATTATAAAGTAATTATAGCATGTATAACTGAAGATAGCTCATTAAGAATATAGTAGAAATAAAATACATTAATTTCAAATTTTTAAGTCATAATCCTACTACAGAAAATATCATATACATACATTCTATATACTGTCAAGATAATGTCCACCCTCCAGTATGTGGTCACTGAAAAACTCCACTGCATACTAGCAGCAAATAACAGTAAGAAGAGATAAATATTATCTTAGTATTAACATATTAGTTTTGTCATAAAAAAGACAGTAAATCCATGAAGCTCTCTGCAGAGGCATCATTTTCCACATGATGTAGAATTCCCTTCTGTATGTTATGATATGAATATGTTTTATTACCATTGGTTAATAAAGAAGCTGTTTCAGCCAATGGTTTAGCAGAGTAAAGTCAGGTGGGAAATCTGAACAGAGACATAGAGAGAGAATAGGCAGAGTCAAGGAGACACCATGTAGCTGCTCAGGAAGTAAGAGGTAACAAACCATGAGCCTCATAGTAGAATACAGAATAATAGAAATGGGCTAATATGTGAGAGTTAGCTAGAAATACACTCAAGACATCAGCCAAACAGTGTTCTAATTAATATAGTTTCTGTGTGAAAATTCAGGTCTGGGTGGCTAGGAAACGAATGAGCAGTCTCTGCTTATACACATAGAGCTGCAATCTTTTTTGTTTGTTTGTTTTGATTTTGGTTTTCTAGACAGGCTCTTTGAAGCCTTGAAGGTCCTGAACTAATTGTAGACCAGGCTGGCCTCAAACTCAAGATTTCTCCTGTCTCTGCCTCCTGAGTGCTGGGATTAAAGGGGTTCCCCACTATGGCCTGGCTCTAGACCTGAAATCTTAAGGAAAGGATAGAGAATCCCAAACCCAAAAGAAGTGGGCAAGTAATCTTCCTGTTCTGACGAGCACTCACAGCCCCAGGCAGAGAAGAACCCTGAAGAGATGAAACACACACCCCTGAAGACAGAGCTTCTGACTAGGCTCTTAGAGGAAGGGCTCCTGCATGGAACTCTAGAAAGCAGGACAACTGAGGATTCAGCATACACACAAAGCTCCTGCTGGGAACTGTAGCTAGAACTGCTCAAATTGTTTTTATCAAAAATCTTCCTTACATGAAAGAATTGGAAAAAAAATTTACCAGCCACACTTCACATAGGGAATTAGTATTTAGAACATATAAAGAAATATAAACACTTAAAAAAACTCAAACTGCCAATCAATAAATAGTTAAGAAACTAAACAGAGAGTTCTCAAAAGAAGAACCACAAATGGTTAACACATTTTAAAGTGTTCAATAGCCTTAGCCACTAGGGAAATGGAAATTAAAACTATTTCATCCCAGTCCAAACAGCCACCAACAAGAAAACAAGCCTGGTATGGCAGCACGTGACTTTAATCCCAGCACAAGGAGGCAGAGGCAGGAGGATCTCTGTGAGTTCAAGGCCAACCTGGTCTACAGAGAGAGTTCCAGGGCAGCCAGAGCTTCAGAGAAAAACCCTGTCTCGAAATAAAAAAAAACAAAAAAAAGGGGGGGGGGAGAAAAAGAATGCACGTGATGTGAAAGTGGAAAGGAGACTACTAGGGGTAGGAGGTGTGCAGGGGCACAAACCTGGGGTGGCAAGGGAATGGGAGAAAGAATCAGCAAAAACCAAGTACATATGGAAATACCATGATGAAGCCATGTTAATTAAAAAATAAACAAATAAGGAGCTGGAGAGATGGCTCAGCTTTTAAGAGCATATACAGCTCTTCCAAACGACCTGAGATTAGTTCCCAGCACCCACATTAAGTGGCTCACAGCTACCAATCATTCAGCTCTAGGGGACCCAACACCCCTGGCTTCCCCAGGTACCTGCACTCATGTGCACAGACCCACACATATACATAATTAAAAATAATAAAAAGAGAAATAAAAATAAAAACAAAAATTCTTTTCCATCCCTGATAGTAATACTACCTTAGGGAGCAGGGAGTTAAAGGACAAATTTAAACTCCCAGAATTGTAGATTATTTCTAGGAGCAGTATCTATATTTAATTTTTCTAGAGAAAATAAGTTTTGATGGCAAGACAGTTTAGTCTTAGCCATCTGCATGTCACTGGAAAAACTACTAAGGGTTCTTCTCCCTCTTCATAAAGTTGAGTCTTGTGCATTCTCATTCTCCTTCGTGCCTTAACAAACCCTCAATTTTCCTCCTCCCATTGCACTCAAATAGACCCCTAAGTGTAATGGGAGTAGACATGCTCAAAATATATTAGATCCATGTATAAAATTGTCAAAGAATACATTTTTAAAGTAAAAGCATAAAAATACTATAAGAAAATAAAGGTAGTCAGGGATATGGCACACATCTTTAATCCTAGCACTTGGGAGGCAGAGGCAAATATATCTGTATTGTATCTGTATCAGTTTGAGGCCACTGTAGTCTATATTGCTAGTTCCAGTCTATATTGCTAGGTAAGACTTTGTCTCAAAAAGAACAACAACAAAGAGGGTGCAGATGGCAGGTAAAAATACTGAAGCCCTTTCAGGAGACTTGGAAGGAAAACAAGATTAAAACAGGAACAGGTTAGATGGACATCGTAAAAATTTTCAACTATGGGCTGGAGAGGTGGCTCAGAGGTTAAGAGAACTGACTGCTCTTCCAGAGGTCATGAGTTCAATTCCCAGCAACCACATGGTGGCTCACAGCCATCTGTAATGAGATCTGGTGCCCTCTTCTGGCCAGCAAGAATACAGACAGACAGAACACTGTATATATAATAAATAAATCTTTAAAAAATAAATAAATAAATAAATAAATTTTTTTCGTGTATCCACCAACAGACTGAGAGGTAAGCTGAAGAAAATGTTGGCAGAGAATGGCTTTCATATATAGTCTTAAAATCAACTCTTAAAAATGCAAAAACATAAGAACACAACGTAATTCAAGTCCTAGCTCTAGGGTCTCCTAATAACCTCAGGGAGCATGTTACTCTGAAGAGCAGTGCAGAGGTGAGGCAGGACAAACAACCTGCCCATGTCTGATTACTTTTAGGTGGGGTGCTGATGCCTATAGTTCTTACCAAGGGTTTCCACCGGCTTGCTTTTCCAATAACAACCTTTTTTCATCTTCTGAAAACTGTAAGTCTAGTTCAAAAGAGTTAGTGTCCAAATCATGGATGTACTGCTCTATGTTGCTGCCCGACCTCTGGGGCAGGCTGGTATCCACCGCAGATAGGGAGTGGGAAGAGGAGGAGGATGACACCTGCATGCAGCCAAACTGACTCAGGAGATTGTCATACTGCAAGAAAAACAGGAAGGAGAGATGTACCTTAATTTGTCTGTAAGGTCAAAGACTCCCTCCCACATTGCCTGGCCCCCACAGCGGCTCACAACCTGGTAAGCTTACACACACTTCAAAGGTGTATATAGACAGATTCTCCAATAGCCATTTGGCCACTGAACCAAGGCAAGGCTGGACCTTCTTGCTACAGGTTCCTCTTCTGATAGAAACAGGGGTCAGAGAAGGGCTACACTGCATCCTTCATCTCCAGGGAGAAGGAACCTGGAACCCTTACCCAGCACAGTACCCCAAGGAAGGAACCCCTACAGCAGCTACCTTCTGGCATGGAACTCTGTGCTTGAGCACACTTCTCTTTTAGTCCTGGGATCTTAGTTAGGTTTCAGAGTCACTGCATAGTCTCATTTAGCATTTGTTTTTTTTTTTTAAATATTCTTTAATCTTAGCAATGGTTCTAGAAAAATACAAGCCAGTGTTGACACAGAAAGCAGAACTATTTACAACATGCCACATGGGCAGTTCATATTCTAGCACACTTCCAGGCAATGACAGGGCCAAAGATCTTTCAGCATAGGTAAAGGTAGGTATGGTCACCTTGGGCAGCCAGCACAGGCTTCTCACTCCTGAGTCCTGCCTTCTATACCCTGAGTCTCCAGAAAGAGTCCTAGCTACTACTCTACAGAGGTCAGCCCCTCCCCGCTGCAGATTCTGTAAGTCCTATGTCCACCTTGCTGTTGCCCAGTGGCACTCTGCAGAATTTATGCTTCCACAGACTCAAGCAGTCACAGCTCCAGATTCACACCCTAGAGTACTGTCTCTACTTCATTCCTAGAGGTTTCCCAGTGAGAGAAATGATGTACCTGCATCAGTTTACAGAAGCTACTACTATACTTCCACTGGGAGGAGGGGTGTCCCCACAAAAACTTTTAAAGCAATTAAAGTGACTCCAATTTCTGACATAAAAACTGAAGCTCAGAATAACATTCCTCTGGCCAACACTGACTTTAAAAGCTTCTCCACATCACTGAGCTGCTCCAGTCATGAAAAAGGAATACCTACAGAACAGACTTCCTCTGTCCCAGCATTCCCCAGGCCCAGTCTGTCTAAAGGTGAACTTTGACACAGACTGTTCTATGCCTAGATGCTTATGAAGCCCTTAAAACACTGGAAGAGCTAAGCAGCCACCCAACCAAACCAAGTTGCTGCCACTGAGAGAGCCAGATCATACAGGTAGAAGTCAAAGCTTTCAAAAAAAAAAAAAAAAAAAGCCCCGTCGGGGCTAGAGAGATGGCTCAGAGGTTAAGAGCATTGCCTGCTCTTCCAAAGTTCAATTCCCAGCAACCACATGGTGGCTCACAACCATCTGTAATGGGGGCTGGTGCCCTCTTCTGGCCTGCAGGCGTACACACAGAAAGAATATTGTACACATAATAAATAAATAAATATTAAAAAAAAAAACAGCACTTGGGAGGCAGAGGCAGGTAGATCTCTATGAGTCCCAGGCTAGCCTGTTCTACAGAGCTAGTTCCAGGACAGGCTCCAAAGCTACAGAGAAACCCTGTCTTGAAAAAACCAAAAAAAAAAAAACCCTGTCTTCAACAATGCAGCTAGGGGTATATGCATGTAGAAATACACATGAAAAAATGATCCTGACTGCTAAGATTGAAGATAATGGAGCCTATACAGCTCTTTCGTAGATCAGCTGCCTTTGGCAGTGACGGTAAGGGACCAGAGTATATAGGCTGAAGGACTACCTGCCAGTCCTAGTTAACTTCTACAGGATTAACAGTTTTAGTAAAGAGGACCCCAAGGTTTCCATCAGCACTCTCTAATATGACCCAAAAGGACACCACTCATGAGCATTTAGGAAGCAAGTAGGGCAGGGGGAGGAGCTCCTGGCTCAGGGCCTGAGTATGCTGCAGCAGGCAATGCAGAAACTGGCCAATCAGCAGAGACGCACTTGAGTTCCACTCCCTACAAGTCTGGACACAAAGAACATTTTAGGAGAAAATGGAGATATGCCAAACAGCAAGTAAAAGACAGAGAATTCCTTGATCTATAAGAGGCAAAAAAACCCAGCAATGGTTTTAGTTTAGCTTTAGAAGACCCTCTTTGTTTGATTTTTTTGTTTGTATGTTTGTTTTGTTTTGAGACAGCGCCTAACTTTGTAGCCAGACTGACCATGACCTTTCATTCTTGGCATTTATTATTTTATGTATACAGGACTCGTGTGTGTGTGTGTGTGTGTGTGTGTGTGTGTGCGCGCGCGCGCACATGTGTGTACCTAGTGCTCCCAGAGGCCAGAAAAGGTGTCGGATTGCCTGGGACTAGAATTACAGACAGTTGTGAGCCAATATGTGGGTACTGAGAATCGAACTCACAACCTACACAAGGACAAAAAGTTCTCTTAAGCATTGAGCCATCTCTCCAGCCCCAACTTTCAATCTTCTTGTCTCAGCCTTCTCAATGCTGAGAACACCCAGCCCTTAACCCCCACAAGCCTGGCTGCTTTGGAAGGCCTTTAGGGAAATGTCAGAATTGCTCAGTCAATTGAATAGAACTCCATGAATGACAACTGGTTAGATAAAATAAGTTAAGAAAACAGAAATCAAATGAGAAAAATTGACTGAATCAATGATTGTTTAAAAAAATTTAAATATGGAGGTCACAATGGGAGCAGAGTCTGGGTAAGACTGTAATTGTGGAGGCAAACTATAGTTTCTTATTTCTGTCTCTTTTGCTGGTGTTTCTAATTTTTTTGTGTAGAAAGTTTTTAAAAATTGTGTCTGTAGTCAATTATTTGGAGGCAAGCTGCTTTGAAGCCAGTAACAGCATAAACCCAAGGAGGTGGTACCCCTGAAACAGAGCAGGTACCTATTGCTGAGCATCAGGCTACTGGGACTGGAGTCTATCCACCCACACCACATCCCTGGAAATTCAAATCAGTAGCATTCTGGGTTCTCTTGAAAAAAATAAGAAGTAGTCCAGAACATTAATATATATATATATATATATATATATATATATATATATATATATATATATATATATATCAAAAAGGATCTGAGCCAAAAGTTGTCTATGATGAGCTTCCAGGAAACCCAGTGTCAGGAGGTGAGAGATTAGGGCAAGGCACTGGTCTCTCATCCACAAGTCCAAACCACATCCTGCCTCCTCCCATCCCCATCCCCAAATAGGTAAAAGTTCACCAGCTGAGGAAATAAGAACAAGAATCAGCGCACACAAGGTGTGTTGGTCTTTTACTCATCAGAGCAAAGCATTCCACCACCACCAGGCCACAGTATTCACTCACACATCTTAACCAGAGTCACACAAATTGCGGTCCCAAGGAATCATATCCACACAACATGGCAAGCAGAATTCTCTTTGCCTATACTCCCCATGGGTGCCAGCTTACGTTGCCATAGCAGTCTTCATCATCTTCTGACATGGCTGGCAAGTAAGCTGTAAGTTTTGGAGGTGTCTGCTGGTGCAGATTCTCCCATGTGATGGACTCAAAGAATGGATGAGCTTTGAGAGGCTCGTACCCTTCCATCTCTTCACAGCCTAAACGCTTTGTGGCATCTAAAACCTTAAATGATAACCAAAACATGTCACTGTCAGGTTTGAAGTGTAATTATTTGTTTATTTATTTTGTGCAAGTGTTTTCAGGTTCTGAGACCTTCTGGAAAGAGTAGGGACACTGCAGTCCATACCCAGGCCTGCCCATGCCATTGTGGAAAAAGCCAAGATTGACCAGGACGTTTACCTCAACCCAAGGCTCTGCCCTTTTCTTCCCACAGGTAAAATAAGTCTCAACCTCAAAATAGAGGGCGACAGCAAGTATGTTTTTAAAGCCTGCAGCTAAAAATGTTATAAGATGATGTGAGCGCTAGTAAGCTGACCACACACTGGGGCAGGCTCTACTCCTAAGACTAGTTGGGTAGCACAAACTGGATTTGAAGAAGAAATTCCAAAGCTGGGAAGGTATGGGAGGGTGATAATCGAAGGAACTGGGGAGTGTATATGTTGAAAACACAATGTCTGAAATTCTCAAAGGATAAAAATATTGTTTAAAAAGAGAGACAGACTTGAAAGGCAGCAGCAGGCAGATCTCTGTGAGTTCAAGACCAGCCTCATCTACAGAGTGAGTTCCAGGACTGGCTCCATAGCTACTGAGAAACCCTGTCTCGAAAAACAAGAGAGAGAGAGAGAGAGAGAGAGAGAGAGAGAGAGAGAGAGAGAGAAAGAAATGCTCACTATTGAAAACAAAAATGCTGTCAGGTGGGTATGGTAGTCCACACCTTTAATCTCAGCACTTGAGAGGCAGAGACAGGCAGATCTCTGTGAGTTAAGGTCAGCCTGGTCTACAAAGCAAGTATGGAGTGGGTGGGGTCTTTCAAAAAATAAAAAAAAGAACAAAAACAAAAAATGCTAACTAAAAAAAGCGAGGCATGGTAGTGTATAACTATAATCCTGGCACTCAGACTAACCAAGAAGGCTATCAAGCATTTTAAGACAACTTGGGCTACACAGAAATACTCTGCCTCAGAGATAAATAAATGTATTCTAATACAAAGAAAAAAATTAACTGAGTGTCTCTAAGAACAAAGAATGAACAATCCAGCTCTCACTGGGTGGAACATCATATCTCTCAAAGGCACGGTCACTCCTATGCCTGCAAGGTTAACTCAAGCCCACTCCCTACCGAGGGCAATGAAGGAAAAGCACCCAGAAGGATGGCTGGGAAGAGGCAACCTGGGGCCTACCCTGATTCCCAAAGAATTAGGAAGGAAGGAGGTCAGGATGAAAAGCGCCAGGGCAGAGATCCTGTTTCTAAACATAAAACGGCACTTCTTTCTTGGGTAAACCTGTTTCTCTCTGTCTTGTTACCCAGGTTGATCTTTAAAGCCTTCATGTAGCTTACACTCTAAAGTTAACATGGGCAGATGTCAATGAAGCAGGATTAACAGCCATCCGCCACTGGGATAATCCCAGTCACTCAGTGACAATCACTTAAAATGTGATGTTAATGAACACATGCAAAACAATATAGTAACTTCCTCTCTTATTAAAGTCAAGAATTAGGTACTGGGAAAGTGAAAAGAGATAATAATGAGATGAAATAAAAATATTTAACTATCTATAGCACTGTCTACCTTAAGCACATTTTCCAAAAGGATACCCATGAGTATCACAAAAGTTAGGAGGTAGCAATGATGATTCCTCACCACAGAAGATTCAAAATACTTACCAAGAGTTTTTCCACAAGATCTCTTGCCTTAGGAAAGAATTTCTCTGGGAAATCATATTCCAGCTTAATAATCTTCTGAAATATAAGATACTCATTTCTGTGAATTAAAAAAAAAATGTTGCTGTTTGAGCAAGAGTCAAATCTCTAGTACTAGGTGTACTTTTACAGAACAACCCAACATCACCCTCACCTCCCAGGACAGCTCTTACTAAAACCCCCAAGCACCACATATTTGTAAGTCATGGTGGAAGTTTGTCCCCACTGGGTACAACCTTCGTCCAGATCTCCCAGTAGTTGTTGGCAGTGGGGTATGCTGTGATAGGCTTAGAAGTCTGAGATGTACAGAATCCCTCTTACCCGGCTCTGAACGGTGGAAGTCCTGCCACAAGCTGATAGATTATACATCCAAGAGCCCAAAGGTCTGAACTTTAAGGTAGGGAAAATACAAGAAAAAATGGCATTGGTGTAATTTAAATGACAAATAAGGCTCGTTTTACTGTCTCTGTCTATACCACCCTACCTTCAGCTTCCAATGTACTTCTATCCCTTAAGACCAGGAATGTAGGAAGTTTGAATTTGCTTTTCTGGGCATCTTCTATGGTATTATTCTTGGCAGGAACAATTACCAAATGGTTCAGCTCCCCTGAAGATAACTATTACAAGTTAAAAACTTCTACACATGTCCTTGTCTCACTCTAACACCTAGCTTACTATTTTCTATACCTGGTTTTCTTTAGTGCTTTCTCTAGGTAAAATAGGGGGAGAGGAAAAAAAAAAAAAACAAATAGCAAAGTAGCTACAAAGAAGCAGAAGAAGGGCCAGGGTAAGACCAATCCACCTGGGCCTCTCAGGTCTCCTCTAGAATGTGGTAACTAAAGCAGTAGGGCTTGGGTAGTTTCTCCTCTGTGAACTATCTTAGCATTCTGTCATTTGCATTTGGCTCTGGAAGCAGCATATCAAGGCTTTCTAAAGTCTCAGATGAGGCAAGTCTTGAAACCCTGAAGCAGGAACTCCAGAGTTCCAGCTCTGTCTGTTTTATCAGAGTGATGAGAGGGTAAACCTGAGGTCAAGGGCCTATACCATCCCCAGGGTATATATAGGCAAATCAGCACCACCCATAGAACATGACAGTTCAATAAAGTAAGAAAAGCCTTCTTCTTCAGCAACAATATATACTGAGAAACTGGAAAATAGCACCCATCACTTAGCACTGCTGACATTGGCCAGATCATCTTCACATTAAAGTATGCTAAATGATATCCCTGGCCTTCATCCATTATAAGCCAACACACCCTACCCCAAGCTGCGACAGTTAAAAAGTTAAGGGCTGGAGGGACAGCTCAGTGGTTAAGAGTACTTGCTACTCTTGCAGAATACCCAGGTTCAGTTCTCAGTACCTGCAATGGCAGCTCACAATTATAATTTCAGTCTTCTCTGGTCTTTTGCAAGCACTGAATACATATATGATAAACATACATACATAGAGGCAAATATTAATACACACTAAAAAAAAAACAACAACAAAGAGGGGCTGGAGAGATGGCTTGGTGGTTAAGAGCACTGCCTGCCCTTCTGAAGGTCCTGAGTTCAGTTCCCAGCAACCACATGTTGGCTCACAACCAGCTGTAATGAGATCTGGTGCCTTCTTCTGGCCTGCAGGCATACATGCAGACAGAATACCAAGAATACTGTCTACATAAATAATAAATAGATTAAAAAAAAAAAAAGGATCTGACCCAGTACAACGTCTGGCCCAAGTTAAGAACTCAAATTCTGATGCAACTGTTTGTCCCTTTGGGCACACCTCTCACACCTCTAGATTTTCCAAAGCTGTCAGTGCTACCTAACCAGATTCACACATTCATTTACACAGGTGACCCCTTGCAACCTGTTAGAGTAGAATGCCTATGTTCAGAACTCACAAAAGGCCAGGCAGCTGGGGCTAAACCAGATACAAAGCAGTTTACCAAAATCAACAACCAGCAAGGAATCATCAATTATAAAAACAGAATGCATACATAGCAAATGGCAAATACATGTTTTAAAAAAGCAAAAGACTAACTTCTTTGTCACTCTATAGCCCTAGCTGGTCTGGGAACTTGTTATATAGACTAAGATGGCTTTGAACTCAGAGATCTACCTGCCTCTGACCCTGAGCATTAGGATTAAAGGCATGCACCACCATTGCCCAACCATTTTTGTTTGCTTTGAGACAAGGTTTCACCATATATCGCTGACTAATCATGATTCTCCTAATTCATCCTTTGGGATTATAAGGGATGTATCACAGTACCAGGCTCATACTTAGCTATTTAAGACCTACTAAAGTCTCTCTTTCACATAGTAATTCCTCATGACTAAACCTAGTAGATATCACAGAGAAAAGGGAAGGGCTAAGTTATATTGAAAACAAGTTACCTCTTACACGCCGACTTCTCTGTGAGCAGCTCTGGAGAAACATACTGTGCTGTTCCTACAAATGAGTTGGCCCTGGCTAAGTATGGGAGGAAAAAAAGAAAAGGTCATACTTGAAAATACAATCCTTGGCCCCCAACCACACTGGCTCTCCTGTGTATTCTTCAGAGTGTCAATATCTAACTATAACAGATGGGAGGTGGCTGTCAGCTCAGCTGGTCACCTGGACTAGACTGAGCAACCAAAGGACCTTACTAAGGATACCCGCTATATTCTATCCACCTGACACCTCCTACTAACAACCAGCTGTAGGAGGTACTCATCACATTCATCCATCATCTTGCCACTAGAGCAAAGCAATGTAAGGATAGAGGTCCTGTCTGTAGTACTCACTGTTGGGCCTGTGGCATCTAGATACCCACTGAACACACGACGGGCACAAATAAACAGCTGCAGATCAGAGACCATCCTCTTTTTCGTCACCAGTAGCTTGGGCATTCAAGATAACTAGAGCAAAAAGACTGTCTACACTCCACTGCTTATAGTCCTAGTCCATGAGACACTCATCTGCAAGCCACAGAGTAGACACCAGATGCTTTGAAGCCACATTAGCATCCACATCCATTCACTTCAGGCTCCTGAGGAACATAAGAACTCAGCTTCCATGTGGCAGATACAGCAGGACTACATTTTTATACTTTTTTGTTTTGTTTTTTGTTTGTTTGTTTGTTTTTCAAGACAGGGTTTCTCTGTAGCTTTGGTGCCTGTCCTGGAACTAGCTCTTGTAGACCAGGCTGGCCTCGAACTCAGAGATCCGCCTGTCTTTGCCCCCCAAGTGCTGGTCCAGGGGGACAGAGACATGGATAGGCACGCCATGCAGACTGAGGTTGGATATTTAGTGGGTTATGGAATGGAAGGGGGAGAAGGAGAAGAGCAGAGAGAGAGACAGAGAGCGAGAGAGAAAGAAGGGGGGAAGGGGAAAAGTGAGGAGAAGCAGAAGCTGCCTCTTCAAGAGGGAGATGGAAAAGGAAGAGACTCAGGCTGCAAGCAAGAAGATCAGCCTGCCTCAGCAGGGGGGGAGTGGGCGGGGCTTGGCTCTTAAAGGGACAGAACAAACCATTACAGTGGCTATCTGGTGTAACTTTAAAATGGACAATGTTCAAGGCTATAATATAAGGTTATACCAAGTCTATAAAATCAGCATTGTTGGACAGAAGGATAACTACTACTGACTTGGAATGAGTCAGTCAGGTATCAGGTTTAGCAATGACAGAAGGGGCAACAAGGGCACAATACTACACCACCTAAGGAAGCCTCTTTCCTCAAAGGCAAGGCTTGCTATCCCCAGAAAGTAGTACAGGTATGTCACCAGTACAGAAGGACTGTACAGAGGCAAAGAACATATAAAGTCTGACAATGAACACGTGTGGGAACAGCACACAGAAGGAAATGCAAGGTTCCAGCTGGCCATCTCCTACAGCACCATGTGAACAAAACTTGTTTCATTGCCTAGACTCTATTTCAGTCCCAGCTGTAATCCTCCCTGGTTCCCATGTATTGGTTTGCTGTTTGTAGAAACGGGCCATAAGCCTACTACACTGTGCTCTTGCATGGTCTTTTCCAAAAGGTAGCCATAGCTATAAAACTACACACTGCAAAGTGCCTATCAGACTCTTCCTTCCACTAAAACAACTGTGCTCCAAGCCTGTGGCCAACCATATCCCACAGTGCCTTCCTTAATGGTCTGTCTCTCACTGAGATCCCAAGCATAGGCAAAAAGGTCACACAGCTCAAAAAGAATCACATGCATCTCAAAAACAAGGACCCTTTGGAAGGTCATTATTAACCTACCAGGCAGCTTTCCTTCCCCCAGACAGCATCATTGTCCTCACAGAACAAATGACGGATGTGCTATTTCCCGAGTGCACATCACCTCACACATGTTCCTCCTCTTCCCATTGCCCCATCTTGTCTTCTGAACATGTTCTGCCTTGGTTAGATGATATCACCACATCTCACTTTGGATTTCTGGGTTATTGTCTCAATTCAATAGTGTGGCAGAGTCCTTAGGAGTCTAATTGTTATTTTTTATATCTCTAGAGTGGGCAATTTCTATCCAATGAGGATGTTAGTGGCAGAAGCCATCCCACTTTTCTGGCCCAAATGGAGTCTCAGCAGCTCCCACCCCGACCCTCAACAGTAAAGGTGTCACAGTATGATCCAAGGCTATGTGCTAACACTGAACAGAACTTGAAATAAATAGGCAAAATTAACCCTTGCTCATATAATTTTCCTAGAATCTTCCTGAGGATGCATGGGCCGTCATAGGCAGCTATATACATCAGATGGGAAGACTGAAGGATGGGTGAGAGGAAGACAATGGAGTTCAAGGATGTGCTCTCAAAATATCACCTGTAGTACATATAGCTGCCACCAACTCTACCCTTAGTTCACAAGTGACTTGACATATGTTCTACGGAGCAAGAACTAGCCGAGCTATCTTTGGTCCTTATCTACTACTAGATTTCACACACTATGAAGAGTCAAAAGGAATCATACAGTGTAACATGTTGCTCAAAGTTGCTCTCGGCATCAAGCCTAAAACAAGGCTCTACTGAAAAATCAAGCAAACATACCTTGTTTGCTCTCTGGGGATAACACTTTTGCTGTTCCAAAATCTGTGATCTGGATGTGCATGTCTTCATTTAACAAAATGTTTTCTGGTTTAAGGTCTCTGTAAAAGTAGAATTTTACCTTTAAGATGAAATGTTTAAAATAGCAGCATTATCAATACACTGTACATTTTGATGGAAACACAATAAAGGGATGACTCTTTTCCTTTACAGACTAAAAACCAAGAATATAATCCCAAAGTTCATATCAAACAAGAATCAACAGCATAGAATATAGGCATTCCCAAATCATTTTATAACTGTATTACTTTTATCTTCAAGCAGGTGAGTTGTTACAAACATCTTAACACCTCCGCTTCCACGGCCACCCTCTCTGCTTCATCTGCCATTTTTAGTAACATTTTATTTAACTTTTATTTTAGTTCATAAATCACAGTTCTAATTTGCCTTTATCAAAATGAAGAAATGAAAAATGTGACCAGAATTAAATAGATACAAAAGCTATACATCTGACAAAATAAAAAGCGCCAGATAACTGATCTGGCAGTGTCACAGGAAGACACCTCACCCAAGTTGAAATGATGACTTAGACATGAGACTTCGAACTGCAGATTCCTTTCATTTCCAGCCTGTTTTCAGCTTTCTCAAGTGAGCCATCACCTGGAAATACCTACATCATAACTTTTATAAAGCCAGCCAACGCTGACCCCAGAGAGCTGGTGTGGGTTATCTGTGCGCCTCAGAGTCACTGTCCCTTATCACTCATTACAGGGACTATACTGTACACACCATCTGGAGCAGTGTCCATTACCTGTGAATGATGCCCTTTCCATGCAAGTACTCTAAAGCAGACACAATCTCAGCCGTGTAAAAGCGGGTACAGGTTTCATCAAATGAACCGATTTTGCGGATGTATTTAAGTAATTCTCCATTTTTGGCATAACTTAGGCCAAAATCTGAACATTGGCAGTTAAGGAAGAATGGAAAAATATGTTGTTGTTGTTGTTTTCTAAAAATTAACCTTAAAAACCCCATAAGAACTTTCTTTTCATCAAGTGCAAATTGAAGGTACCTATGCTCCAAGACCAGCTGTCAGCACAGATTTCTAAGAGGACAATGACAGTCCCTGAAAAAACATGGACAACACCTCTCAGTCCAGGTGCCCTTCTAGACACATGGTCCTCAAAGGCCTCTGTGGCCCAGGAAAGGAAGCCTCTAGACGGCTGCTGGACCAACTGACCATGGCCAAAGCATTAACAACTTGTGGACAGCTTTAAAGTGCAGGAGAACACAGTTCCGAAAACAGCATCCTAACAGAACCGAGTGGCTACACCACGGCTCTTGCCTGACCTTGCTGCTTCCACTGGCTATGCTAACAATCCTGTGCATAAAAGTGACATGCTTTATATCAATTTTAATTTTCCGATTCATTTGATCTATTTGAGAAATACCTGCTGGAGAGATGAGAAATAGTCAGCCTCTCCTTCCCACACACCTCCCGCCCCCATGTTCTACTTATGATTTTTCTTCAAAGGGGACAGAACGCTGACAAGAAACAGTTCCAAATGACTGTTTTCCTCCAAAGCACCAAACATTTGTGCTTCTTACTGGAAATCTCCAGATACCACACCTCCCTGGCAGCCTGGGACACAAGGGCCCAAATGCTGACTAAACTAAGCAGCAGTCTGAATCCAAGTTTGGAGTTCATAAAAGAAGCCAAGGTGAACTTCTTTCTCCGTTCTGGCTTTTGTCTGTCAAGGCATTCCTGTCAACCACCAAGGAGGGAGCCTGAGGCTCTGGAGAAGAAAACAAACCAAGAAGAGTCAGGACTACAACCAAAGCTGGTAGAGATGCTCCCAGCCAGGCCCATCTCTGACTACCTATGCTTTGTGTCAAATTGGCATAAAACTAGCTAAAACATGGCATCAATCTCCTTTTTGAGGGAGTAGATAGGATGCAGCTGGGCAGGTCTCTGTCAGAGTCATCTGGAAAGAAATTTTCAATTAAAAAACTGCCTTCCTAAGATTTGCCGGTAGGTAAGACTGCAGTACATTTTCTTAACTAGTGACTGGTGTGGATAGGCCTAGCCCACTGTGGGTGGTACCATTCCTGGGAAGGTAATCCTGAGTTGTACAATAAAGCAGACTGAAAAAGTCATGGGAGCAAGCTAGTAAGCAGCACTCCTCTGTGGCCTCTGCAACAGCTCCTGTCTTGAGATCCCTGCCCTAATTTACTGCTCTGACATCCCTTAGTGATAGACGATGATGTGGAACTCTAAGCTGAAATAAACCCTTTTCTTCCCAAATGAAGCACGATTAATAAAAGCTCAGAGAGGGAGAAATTGGGCTTCAACCTTAAGACCCAAAAAGCAAAACAGCCAGCCACTGGCTCTTACCTCAACCTCAAGTGATCCTGCCTCCAAGAATCTCAGAATGAGACTGTACTTGAGAGTTGTCTCCTCCTGTTCTATAATCCTCTCTATTTTGAGATTAAAGGTGTGCACCACTACCGCCTGGTTTCTATGGCAGTTAGTGTGGCTGCTGGGATTAAAGGTGTGTGTCATTGCTACCTGGCCAATGTGGCTTTTACTTTTCTGATCTTCAGGCAAGTTTTATTTATTAAAATACAGGGAAATGCCACTACCACTACTTCCCAAGTTGTTTGTTTTATCACATCAGTAGATAAAACCCTAAAACATGCCATGGAGCCACCAATTCTAGCCTGACATAAGCTGGCAGAAGGGCCTCGCCAGTTAGGAGCCCAGGTATAAGTCCACAGCCATATGGTAAGGGAACAGGAAGTAACTTCTCTTTCTGGCTTCATGGTTTTACTCTTTAGCTGATCCTGGTTCCTGTGAGAGGGACACCTATAGGTCTTTGCTCAGGAGGGAAGCAGATGCAAGTTGTCTTAAACATAACAGGTGCCTGGGATTATTTCTCAGGCTGCTGGTTCTCTGCAATCACACCCTTCCCCATTCCAGGATGTTCTTTTAGACTTCAACAATTTAGTGGGCATCCTCCACCCCCTTGGCCATAGTCAGTGCTCCAGGGCAGCAAAAACTGTCACAGACTGGGTGAGCCCCTGGGAGGGCAGGTACAACCAAATGCCTAATCAGGAAGCTCAATAGCCCAATGTATGCAATTTGCAGAGGAGGAACCTGGCCGAGAGATTAAGCAACTGACTCAAGTTCACAAAGCAAATAATGGACAGGACTAGAACCCAGTCTTGTGGTCCTGACTCCATGCTGCAAATGAGACACAATGAAGACAAGCAGGCAGCCTGGTCTGGTGGAAGTTTAACGATGATGGGGGTAGAAAGAACTATGTCTAAGAACTCTTTGGTCTTCATCTGTGTGTGAAGAGGAAGGTTCCCCCACTGGCTCTGATCAAGCCAGGACTACACCAAGATACGGAAACCTTACTCTTGACCAAGCCTCTGGACTCACTTTCCCAGGCTGCTATAGTAAAATCTAATGAAGAACCCTGAGTAGTTCCTGAGTGATCTGTCTGTTTCCAATCTATAGCAGAAGTGTCCCCAAGTTCTGCTTCATCTCACTTGTCCTGAAAGGGTGTGGGTTCATCCTGAGTCTCTCGAGGGTAACGAAAAGTGAATAGACAAGGACTAGTTTCTCTCCTTCACTTGAAATTATGACTAAATGAAGGACAGTGTCATATCTGGGCATTTCTTCATGCAAAAAGTTTCATTTTTCTTTCTCAATACAATGTATAGTGAGGATTACCAATAAGGGAGAAGCCACTGGATCTCATTCTCATGGGAGGTAGGTCATTACGACCTTCTAGGTCTTAGACCAAGAACAGTATGTGCCATTAGACAAAGACCTAGAGTTCTTTCCACCTGGACTGATGGCCAGTATCATTTAGAAATCACCAAGACCAAGCAAGGACATTCTGGTCTGGCTTCTAAGCTCTGATCCTACCACTGTAACCCTGACAGATGAAGTCAAGCATGGGTCAGTCTATCTTGGCTATCCAGTGTCTCCTCAAGGGTGCATGTGGCTAGTGCTTGGTCTCCAGGTGGTAGGACTGTGAGGTGGAGAATCTTTAAGAAGCAGGGTTTACAGCATATCTTTGGGGCACTGGGCTCCTGAAACTCACTGGTAATTGGAAATTCTCCAAAAAAGAAGCAAGTCCAATCACACCTACTTACTCTGCCTCCTGGCTTGAGATGTGATCCCGCTTCACACAATGGCCACCACCCACTCTATTCTTACTACAAAGCTAACCGTGTACAATGCAGAGAAATCTTGTCTCAAAATAAATAAATAGATATATAAATAAAATTTTTAAAAAAATGAGCACGTAAATAAAAAGTAGGAAGAAGAAGAGGAGGAGGGGCTGGAAAGATGGCTCAGTGGTTAAGAGCATTGCTTGCTCTTCCAGAGGTCCTGAGTTCAATTCCCAGCAACCACATGGTGGCTCACAACCATCTGAAATGAGATCTGATGCCCTCTTCTGGCCTGCAGGCAAACACACAGACAGAACATTGTATACATAATAAATAAATAAATAAATTTAAAAAGAAATGAAGAAGAGGAATGTGGACAAACAATGCTGAACATACACGCAAGGAGAACTGCTGGAGAGGCAGTTCAAACAGCCCTAGGAATGGGAGGGGCTGAGCAAGCTCAGGAGACAGAGCTACACAGCACTCACTCTGAGTTCTTGAATTTCTCTCTCTCTTTTTTTTTTTTCAAAGGCCCAGTCAAGTTGTCCCTCTGACCAAGCTCAAAATGGAAGAGGGTATGGAGAAGTTGGTGCCAACTCTAGAAGCCTGAGAAGACCCAAAATTATTTTTCCTCTCAGGCCCTCACTTTTCAAAAGCAGGAGTCAATAATACCGAACAGACACTCCAGAACACTGGCTGAAGGGATGAGGGGACATTTCTGCATCAATGTTCAGCAACTATGGCTAAAACAGCAACCCATTAGGTACAATATTTATCAATAAACACCAACACTGTGGGAAGGTTTCCCGTTCAGAGATGGCACACTAGTAAGAGCCTCAGCCGTGTGCTGGTACAATCTGTTGTCTCCAAGGATATTAGTCTCCACAGGGATCCATGCTGTGCCCTTTCCTTTCAAGGAACAAACAACATAGTCACTAATCTAAAACACAAGGTGGTTTTCAGACATCACTGACCGTGCAAAGGATACACAACTTTTCGTCGTCCTGAAATGTAAAGTAAAGTTTCACAAAGAATGGGTGATCCAGGCGTGACATCACATCTCTCTCTCTAGTTACGTATGGGACTTTGTTCTCTTTTATAATATGACGTTTCTCCAGAATTTTAACTTAAGAAAGAAGTAAGTTTACTAACATTAGAAAATGTGAAAAATAGTAAATTTATAAAGGTAACTGACATAAACTGTAGTTTTCCCAAAACCACTCACTCAAGCTTTCATGGTCTAGAAGACTAACCTTCGTCATAGGACTGAAATCAGCACAGGCCCTACCACTACCCAGGCTGCCATATGTACAAAAGTCGCACTGCCCCTGAATCCCAGACACACAGCTCACTGGAGTTAGTACTTACTAGCATATTCTCTGGAAGTGGCCAGTTCTCGGGCCAGAACAACCTGGTTTGGGGGGGAAAACACAGTGTAATAATGAATGAGTCAGGTAAGCCAATGTCACCCTACACAGGCTGTCTAGTCCATACATACAACTTGAGGTTACTTTGGATCCTGCACTAACAAACACATCAGAAAGCCACTGTCTGTGTTAATATTCTAAAAGAAAATAGTAACATGACAGCAAACATTAAGTGGCAAACAGTAATTGTGCCATCATTTTGAAATGTTCATAATCAGCCGGGCGATGGTGGCGCACGCCTTTGATCCCAGCACTCGGGAGGCAGAGGCAGGCGGATCTCTGTGAGTTCGAGACCAGCCTGGTCTACAGAGCTAGTTCCAGGACAGGCTCCAAAGCCACAGTGAAACCCTGTCTCGAAAAACAAAAAACAAAAACAAAAAAAATGAAATGTTCATAATCAGTTAGCTGCCAGAAGTTCTCATGATATAGTCAAAGTATAAATTTAAGAACCAACAGTGCACACCTATAATCTTAACACTCAGTCAGAAGCCAGAGGTAGGAGGATTCCGAGCTCCAGGCCACCCTGTTACACAGTAAGACCCTGTTTCAACACCCCCTTCACAAACAAAAAGAATTTTATTGATTGACAAGTCCAAATACCACAAGTGGGCACTGAAAATTTCTTTAGAAAAATAACTTCAGGGCTGGAGAGATGGCTCAGAGGTTAAGAGCACTGACTGCTCTTCTGGAGGTCCTGAGTTCAATTCCCAGCAACCACATGGTGGCTCACAACCATCTGTAATGAGATCTGGTGCCCTCTTCTGGCCTGCAGGCATGGAGGCTGAACACTGTGTACATAATAAATAAATCTTTAAAAAAAGAAAAAGAAAAATAACTTCAAGAATATGTCTTGCCAGGTGGTGGTGGCGGCACACACCTTTAATCCCAGTACTTGTAAGGCAAATCTCTGTGAGTCCAAGGCCAGTCTGGTCTAAAAAGTAAGCTCCAGGACACCCAGGGATGTTACAGAAAACTTGACTTGAAAAACAAAAAAGCAAAAAATAAAAAAATAAAACCAAACAAACAAAATATCTTTTCATCTTGGCAGTGGTGGCACATGACTTTAATCCCAGCAGATTAGTTTTAGGCCAGCATGGCCTACAGAGCGAGTTCCAGGATAGCCAGGGTTACACAGAGAAACCCTATCTTAAAAAAACAAAACAAGGGGCTGGAAAGGTGGCTCAGAGGTTAAGAGCACTGACTGCTCTTCCAGAGGTCCTGAGTTCAATTCCCAGCAACCACAATTCACAGCCATCTATGATGAGATCTGGTGCCCTCTTCTGGCATGTAAACATACATGGAAGGAATGTTGTGTGTGTGTGTGTGTGTGTGTGTATGTATATATATATATATATCTTTAAAAAAAAAAAACAATTCCAGGACAGCCAGAGCTGTTACACAAAGAAACCCTGTCTTGAGGAAAACAAACAAACAAACAAAAGACAGGCAGACAGAGTTAGAGAGAATATGACTTTCCAATATAGGTCCTGGTAAAAAGCTGCCTTTGACTTAGGCTTCTCCAAATAATTGCTGTCATATATTTCATTTAATAGCATGAACATAGCTATGGTTCTACTGTGTACCAAGAACTAAAATAGCACAGAACAAACCCTCTTTACAGAATGCTTTCCAAACAGAGCACACCTCTGCCTGTCAGACTCTGCTTCAGGGACAGAAGACCACCAAACTCTGGGCACACCCGAAGCACCAAACCAAAAGGAGCTGAAAGGCCCAAGTTTTAGCCAGAGCCTGCGGAGGGGCAGCTTTGCCAAAGATGTTTTTGCCCCAACATGGCTGATAAACGCAAATTGTTGTGGTTATTAGACACCTGCAATGACAGACCAAGAATCAAAGAGCAAATGAAACATGCCTCAAGAAATCACTGAGTCTGGTGGAAAATAACCATAGCAAAGGGTCACCTGTGACAGAACTCTGTAGACACAGTCCCGAAACAGTACTGTGGGATGCCCACAGCCATCAGGAACAAGGCAGGATTCAAAGTATTTAAGTAGAAAGATCTCAAAGAACTTTCTGAAAAAATATGCTGTATATACATGACTCACAGCCACTAGGGTCGGGGAGCAGGCTGGAGTAGTGTATTCCCCCTTAGGAATGGAGAATATATATATTCACATTCCTTCATGAACATGCATGATTAACTTCCTATGTATGAAAAGGAAAGGAGGAGTTGTTAGAAAGTACTTTGGTTTACTGGAATCCACTCTCAGGAGGGGATTATTTGTTTGTTTTGAGGGGACAGGGTTCATTATGTAGCCTCGGCTAGCCTGGAGTTCACTATGTAGTCCAGATTGGCCTTGTCCTCCTAGAGATTCACCTGTTTTATCCTGCTGAGTGCTGTGATTAAAGGCATGTGCCATCATGCCCAGTTTGTGAGCTGGTTTCTAAACTTAGCATTTCATAAGCAGGTTTCCCGCAAAACAGAGAGAGTCTTCTAAAGAACTGCAAGGGACATGTTGCTCCCTGTCACCAGGAGTGATGTCATTACTATCTTGGATGTGATAGTGTACTTTGGAGCAGGTCTGCTCTCTAGCACCAGCTTGAAGCTCTGCCAAGTGAATATCCTGCTCAATCTGGCTAACCGTATGCCCTTTATTCCTCCCCTGGAAATCTAATTTAAGTGCTCGCTATTTCAGGAATAGAGAGATGAATCAGTGTAACACCTCATTCGAGATCCAGAACTATAGATTTCAAGAGCCAGGAAGGAGCCTCCTGCTGGCAGTGCTTTCCCAGGTACCTCATGGCATAAGTTCAAAATGGCACTGAATAAGAAGGATGACTGTGCCACCCAGGAAGGATGGTGCGAAAAAAAAATATAAAGGAGTAAATTGAAAAAAAGAAGAACTTCACTAGAATATCATCTGTAGCTGAGTGCAACACCCAGGGATCTCAAAGCAGTTTCCTCTTCCTGTAAGGCATGGTGCGTTCCAAAGGCACAGAGAACAATCTTCATGATTGAAGGCTTTTTTCATAAGGCCACAATCCTATAAACAAACTTACCACCAGAGCTGTTACTTACAGTGAAAGTAAATTTCAGTTCATTTAAAATGAGATGAGTATAAATAAGCTATATTTTATATTCTTTGTATTTTAGAATCTTTCACAGATATATATAAAGCTAAGAAAAAAATTCAGCTAGTCTTGGCGACACTCATCTTTAATGTGTGCATTCAGGAGGTAGAGGAGGCAAATCTCTGTAAGTTCAAGGCCAGCTTGAGCTACACATGAAGTTCTGGGCTAGTTAGGGCAAGAAAGTGAGACTCTGTCTCCAAAAAATAAATAAAGAGAAGAAGAGGAAACAAATTGCACAGATTCTTCACAAGGTCAGGTATAAGACAACTGGTTGTTTAGGAACTTTCTAAAAGTTAGTCCCTCTGGAACTACCCTGGAGTGCCTATTTCAGACTGGAAATGGAACACAGAAATCTATTTCATTGGCAGTTGTTTGGAATTGAGAGTGACCCCTTGGCCACTCTGCAGAAATACCCACTTGGCCTGGAGTTAGAAAAAAAAATCTGGGGCTGGAGAGATGGCTCAGTGGTTAAGAGCATTGCGTGCTCTTCCAAAGGACCAGCGTTCGATTCCCAGCAACCACATGGTGGCTCACAACCATCTGTAATAAGGTCTGGTGTCCTCTTCTGGCCTACAGACATATATGCAAACAGAATAATGTGTCCATAATAAATAAATAAAAAGTAAAAAAAGAAAAGAAATCTGTAGGCTAACTCTCCAGCAAATACTTAGTGTCATAGTTTAGGTTCTAAAGCAAACAAAAACAAACAAACAAAAAAAACCCAGACATAGAAAAGGTCACTGAATGTTACCAAAAGTCTCCAAAAAGATACTAAATTTCAACCTAAGAAACTAAAGGCTTCCTAAGGCCCCTCCAGTAAGACCTGAAGACACAGAACATACTACATTAACTGTAGTTTTAAAGTAACATGAATCAACAGCTGCTTTTGTTTGTTTGTTTGTTTGTTTTTTGGTTTTTTTGAGACAGGGTTTCTCTGTGGTTTTGAAGCCTGTCCTGGAACTAGCTCTTGTAGACCAGGCTGGTCTCGAACTCACAGTGCTGGGATTAAAGGCGTGCGCCACCACCGCCCGGCTGCTTTTGTTTGTTTTTGAGTCAGGCATTCATTCAATATATTACCAAGAGGCCTTGAAATGTCCAGGTTTAAACTCCTTTGCCTCAGTCTCCTGAGTATATGGAGTAAAGATATGGACCAAAACAGAAAAAAAAGGAGGAAGGGAGGGAGGGAGGGAACCAGTTTAAGCAAGCTTTCTTCAGGTAGTCCACTCAGGGAGTCCACTCCCTCCAAGACTCTAGTGACATTCACAGAATGCAACCCACAAGGGCATGAAACCATCTCCTGGGGATCTCCATGCCTGCTCAGGTGCCTGCTCAGGGGTTCTCAGCACTCAGTCTCAGGATAATCCTCCACTCAATAAGCAGCAGCAGCAGAGGCACATACTCACTGTCGAAAAAGAGCCCTCGCCAAGGATTTTCCCAAACTTGAAGTCTTCAGGCCGCTTCTTGCGAGGCTGTGGTGGCAGCTGGGCAGGGTGCTGCTGCAAGGGGTTGGTATTTGGTCGGGCTTCGGCTGTGGTGCCATCCATGGTGGGTCCCTGCCTGGTAACACCACTAGGCATGCCAGGGGCCGAACTGGATTCAGTCTGGGACCTCACCATTGATGGGGATGGGCAGGAACATAGCACCACACTGGACTGAATAGGAACAGCATCATACTGCAAACACAGAGGAAAGAGGTGAGAGTCAAGGGGCACTCTTGTTCTAAGTAGATAAGTCCAAACACAAGCACTTTATTATGATACTGCTGAAGGCTGGGCAGCACATCTGTCTGACTCTGGGTATCCACTGCAGCCACTTTCCCTCCTTCTCCCTTGCTCACATCCTCTGGAATAATAGTGTGCATCTGCAATTCTGGAGTATGTTCACTTTATACAGAGACACCCAATGCTGGCAAGATTCATGATAAAGCAAGAATACTCATGATTATGGCTAGTGTTACTGTTAAAGAACTCCTGGAAAGCCTGGCAACTGTTAATAAAATGATGATAGAACAATTGTCAATGAGACAGAAAGATGAGAGAAAGCACAGTTAAAAACTGAAGCATAAGCAAGGTGTGGTGGTGCAAACCTGTAATCCTAGCATGCAGAAAAATCATGGCTTCTGGGACAGCCTGGGTTACATTCCAAGATTCTGCACCCAAAAAAAGAGGTGGGGTAGGGGTGGGAAATAGGTACACTGAGAAAGAAATTAAGTACTCGGGGCTAAACTTGCAGTAAAAATTGCAAAAACTTTACCTACATCCATAAACACATTCTCTTCAGCTCTGTCCTTAGTATATCCTCATAGTTGTGACTATCCTGACTATAACAGATTGGGAAGATATAGCTCAGTCAGTAAACTACTTGATTTGAAAGCATGGGACCTAAATTCAATCTGCAGAATTAAAACAAACAAGCAAATGTGAACTGGAGATATAGCTCAGTAGTAGGCAAGTGCCTAGCATGCATAATAACTAGTACCTCCATGCCCTCTGCCCCAAATCAATAAAAACAACAACAACAAAGCCAAACCTGGTAGTCCACCTTTAACCTCAGTGCTGGGAAAGCGGGAAAGCAATTGCTAGTGTGTTGTCTAGCCAGCTTAATTGTCAAGTCCCAGACCAGTAAGACACTGTTATTTAAAAAATATAAATAAAAATTAAAAAATAAAAGCTAAAAGAAAAGGATGGAGCCAGGCAATGGTGGTTCATGCTTTTAATCCCAGCACTCCAGAGACAGAGGGAGGCAGATCTCTGAGTTTAAGGCCAGCCTGGTCCACAGAGTAAGTTCCACAACAGCTAAGGCTACACAGAGAGACCCTGTCTTGAAAAACAAAACAAAGAAGAGGAGGAGGAGGAGTAGATTGCATACTGTTCAAGTATGTGCACACACTCCACCTAACCATCATAAAATGAATTTAGCATACCCAAGTTACTTAGGCACTGGTCCTTAACAGTCCTCACTCAAGAACTCTAGGAAACTTATATAACCCAGTGCTTACCTAGCATGTGTGAGGCCCTAGGTTCAATTCCCAGCACTACATAAAAGAAAATTTAAAAGTGCAATTCGATGGAGTCAGGTTCTGAAACCACCTGCCTGTTCTGTAAGATAGCAGCACATGGGGGGTTGACCAAACATGCTCCATTCAAAACTGAAAGCTGTCTGATCAGATAAAATAAGATGAACCTCAGAAAAGGTCATGAGTTCACAATAATACAAACATAGTTTCTTTCTTTTTTTCCATTTTATTTTTTAAAGTCTAACAATATAACTCTATGGGCTAAGTAGACTGAATGGTTGTTAATTTATGTAAACAAGGCAGTATGTCAGTGTATGAGTTAATTAGGACAGACAAGGTTGACTACTTTCTAGATAAACAAGGAAGGAAAAGGGAAATACGGAACCATAAAGAAGCCAATGCTCTCTGGGCAGTAGTAGTGCACACCTTAATCCCAGCACTCTAGAGGCAAAGGCAGGAGGATCTCTGTGAGTTCAGGGCCAGCCTGGTCTACAGAGCGAGTTCCAGGACAGGCTCCAAAGCTACAGAGAAACCCTGTTTCGAGAAAGGAAAAAAAAGTTATCTTCTGGAAACACAGCAGCCAAGAGCGAGCAAAGCTCAGCTACCAAGAAGAGCTAAAGGAGATGCTCATCTTGAGATTGTAAAATGCCTAACAAATCTAGAAAGAACATCTTGTGACCCAAACATGATGAATACCAAGGTGGAGAAAAGAACAGCAGATGGTAACACGGAAGGGTGTCTTGGCTACTCCCACAGTGTAGTGTGTGAGCCTGGGCTCCTAAGAGCACCCTCCTCAGAAGGCCAAAGCAGCAGAAGCACACTCCCAAAGGTTCTAGCTAAGCAACCACCATTAGTAACCTTGTACCTGCTCTATGGCAGGAGGAAACGACTTTTTCTTTCAGGTGAACCCATCATCGTGCCAGGTAAAGTATAAGATCATGTATTAAAAATATGGAGGTGCGGGGGCTGGAGAGATGGCTCAGTGGTTAAGAGCATTGCCTGCTCTTCCAAAGGTCCTGAGTTCAATTCCCAGCAACCACGTGGTGGCTCACAACCATCTGTAATAAGGTCTGGCGCCCTCTTCTGGCCTTCGGCATACACACAAATAGGCTATTGTATAAATAATAAATAAATATTTAAAAAAAATATGGAGGTGCTAACCAAACACATTACCAATGAAATCTGACTACCTGACTGCAATAAGGGTCTAAGAATCTCAGCAGGTAATTAAGATTTCACTTTTCTGTGTTTGGAGCAGTGTTCAAAGTTTCAATGAAATTGTCTGCAAATGTAGAGTTTAAAAACTTGAATAAAAAGGAATACAACGCCGGGCGGTGGTGGCGCACGCCTTTAATCCCAGCACTGGGGAGGCAGAGGCAGGTGGATCTCTGTGAGTTCGAGGCCAGCCTGGTCTACAAGAGCTAGTTCCAGGACAGGAGCCAAAGCTACAGAGAAACCCTGTCTTGGAAAAAAAAAAAAAAAAAAAAGGAATACAACAATACTAGCCAAGTATTTCCCATACACAAAACCCCTTAGACAAGGGATGTCTTTAGCTTAGTGAGTAAAAGCTAGTACTGTTCAAGCCTGATGACCCGAGTTGAGATTCTGGGAACCCAGGTAAAAGCTAGATGCACACCATTGTGTCTATGATGCATCTGTAATCTCAGCATTTCTATGGCGAGATGGGAGGCAGACAGGAGAATTCTCCAGAAGCCCTTGGACCTGCTAGCCTGGAGTATGCAGCACAGTAGCAAACAATGAAACTGCCTCAAACAAGGTGAAAAATGGATACTAGAGGTTGTCCTTTAACCACCTTATGCACACCATGGATGGCACAAACACACCCTCACACATGAACACTTATATACATACATTACATATGCACACAAAAAATAAAAATAAATTTTAAAAAATCATGAATATAATTACTATTTCCAACTTAGAACTTCAACCTAAGAAAATGAAGTAACATTATTTTAAGAGCAGATTCATAAAATATAGTGGCCAGGTGTATGACTCTTTGGTAACACACTTGCCTAGAATGCATAAGGCCAAACACGACTAGGAAAAAAATTTTAATCTACTATAGCTTTGGATATTTCAGCAAAAGCTGAGACCTGCTGAAAAGTTCAAGACAAAGATGATAGGTAAACCAAGGTATGCACACTTAGTGGAACACTATGTAGCCCTTAAACATAGATATAAAAGGTATAAAAATATGGTTATACAACTGGAGGAGCTGGTTACGGTTATATAAGAACCATTTGTACCCTTCTAGAATTTTTTTTGGGGGGGGAGTAGTTTCAAGACAGGGTTTCTCTGTGTAACAAGTACTGTCTTTACTAGAACTCAGTTTGTAGACCAGAATAGTCTCAAACTCAGAGATCTGCCTGCCTCTGCCTCCCGAGAGTTGGGATTAAAGGCGTGTACCATCACTGCCTGGCCCCTTCTGGAATTCTTAGAAAACAAATATTAAATAACTTATAATTAAATGAAATAAAGGCTAGAAGAGTAACTCAATAGTAGAATGCTTGTCTAGCATGTGGATCCCCAACACTGTTTCATGTGTTTGTGTGTGTGTGGTGAAATATATGTATAAGAGAAGGCAGAACTGGTTGAATAAAAATAGAAGACTCTATAGAAGAGAATAATGAGGGTGATAAAACAGGGCGCTGGCCGGGCGGTGGTGGCGCACGCCTTTAATCCCAGCACTCGGGAGGCAGAGGCAGGTGGATCTCTGTGAGTTCGAGGCCAGCCTGGTCTACAAGAGCTAGTTCCAGGACAGGAACCAAAAGCTACGGAGAAACCCTGTCTCGAAAAATAAAAAAAAATAATAAATAAATAAATAAATAAATAAATAAAAGAAGCTAGACTTTGCAAGATAAGGTGATATACACTTTTAATCCCAGTTCCCAGGAAGCAGAAATAGGCAGATTTCTGTGATCAGCCTGGTCTATACATAGCAAATCAAGCCCAGCAAAGGCTACAGAGTAAAATTCTATCTCAAAAAGTCAGTGTGCAAGCCAAGCATGGTGGTGCACACCTTTAGTTCCAGTACTTGGGAGGCAGAGTCAGGCAGATCTGAGTTTAAGGCTAGTCCAGTCTACAGAGCAAGTCCCAGAATAGCCAGGGCTACACTGAGAAAAGCCCTATCTCAAAAAGTCAAAAAGAAGGGGGGTGGCAGTGTACTAGGGAAGGAAAATCTCAGACATAAACTTAAACTTTTGGTGTTGTTTTTGAGATGGGATTTCATGTGGTCTAAGACGGCCTTGATCTCCTGATAACACTGCCTTCTGAGTTACTGAGATTATAGCTGTGAATCACCACACAGGGCAAGACACAATTTTCTTTCTTTTGAGAGAAAGGTCTGTGTAGCCCTGGCTGGCCTGGAATTCTCTATATAGACCAAGCTGGTTTCATACTCAGAAAGCTCTACCCACCTCTGCTTCCCAAGTGCTGGGATTAAAGATGTGTGCCATCACACCTGACCAAGATATAAATTCTTAAATAGACTGTGACAAGCTGACTCAGAACCTGGAAGACCTAACTGTGCACCAACACACTTGACCCAGATAACCCAGGAAAGGAGCCAATGAAGCTTCTTGGGACCAAATACATGCTAGTCATGCACTCTACCACTGAGTTACTATCCAGCCC